TTGAAATAGAAAAACCACATTTTCCTTCATAACCTCAGAAAACCAATGAAACATCTGCTACATCGTTGAATTCGTAGAAAAAGATGGGTGTAGTTTTTTTAGGACCATATAAAAAAATAAAGTTGTTGATGGTTTCCAAAACGAAATGTCGGGCACAAAATTTAACAACAGCATCATTTAGTTCCTAAAAAGTTCCATTTGTTTTTTGATATTTCTTAGAAATAAAAGAATAGAAACGATTTTGACAAGTTTCTCAACAGCACAACATGAACTATCACTATACAACTTTTCATTAAAATTAAACGGGTTGTCCATATGCGTTGTGCCTAGGAATGCGCCTACATCTGCGCTGATTGGATTTGATTGGCGTGGCATTGTGGCGCCATCGTCCATGTTCTTTCTCTATTTAATCAATGAAAATTAGTGAATCTGACCTGCATGTATTTATTTTTCATTGTTGTCTATTGATTTTTTTTTGTAAAAATTCGGCACCTAAAAATGCATGTATTTATTTTTCATTGTTGTCTATTAATTTTTTTTAAAATTCGGCACTTAAAAATGGTTGACACCTGTCCCCCACGCGCCCAACAACGTCACACGTATCCACGCGCCTAACGCAGGGTTAAGTTGCGCACTATTCAAAAAACCATATAAACACACAAGTACTACATACTCCCTAAGCAAGTAAAAACGTACTTACCATCACACGTAACCTCATGATATAAAGGAACTTCACGAACGGCACAAAAAACACGTGGCGTGGCGCGACTTGGTAGCACTGGCCGACCACCGACGCGCTACCTCGAGAACTGAAGCCGCGCAGTACCTTGCCGCAGAATCACCCCTCCTTTCCCTACACATCTCCTACTCTCCTACCGCTTGGCTAGAGTCGTACTGTTTACGTTGTTTTTTATACATGTACGTAGATTTTTACTACACAACCTAATCTGTATTTTTGAATATCATATACAGGGCGTTCGTAGCAAAGCGATAGGTTTATTTTAATAATGAAATACTAAAAATTACTAAAATATTTATGTTTAAATGGACATAGGATGGGCAAACATTCTAGGATTATTTGTAGTGGAAACATATGAATCTGTCATTGCAAAGACTGTGAGTCTCACACTTTGAATTTTTCGTTAGACAATAAAAATTGTATCACCGACAAAAAACCAGTTTCCAAGTTCTGAATAATTGAAATTTTGAATATACATTACAGTTTATCAATAATAATGGAAAGCGATCGAAAAACTGTTATAGAATTACGTTGTTTTGTCAGGAACTAGGGTTAGTGGCATATAACTTAAGCACAGAAATCATCATATTTTTCATTGGTTATTATTAGTAATTACACTTGAAGAGTGACTTATTAAAATGCCAAATGTTTCAATTGTGCATATTTGAATATTTTGAAGATACATAAGAGCAGTCCGGAAAACCTAGGAAAATCGATTTTCCTGTTTTACTAAAAACCAAGTTTATCACACAGTTTTTTCCTAAACTTGAAGTTTAGCAAGTATAGATTGGAGGAAAGAGCTCCAAATCGGAGGTAAGTCTGTCTCATCAAATTAGCTATATGGCTATGAAATCTTAATTTATTGTCAATTTCTACGCCTAGAATTTTCGCTTTTTGAGTATGCCGCAAAGTTATACTATCAATAGTTAAATGAAAATAGTCCTCGACGATTTTTATCTTCTGATCAGAACAACGCAATAGCACTTGCGTTTTATCGGGATTAATATCAAGATTATGATCTTCAGAAAATTGATTTACCTTTTCTAAGTCAAGTTGAATGGGGAAAATTAGTATTTTCATCATCATTAAATCATGGAGGCTCATGAGGAAATGAATAAAGACAACTTTAAGCAGTGGTTTGAAAAGCAATTATTGAGGAATTTAAAATGGCTCTCGATTATTGTTATAGACAATGCACCATACCGTAGTAATGAGAATCGGGCACCAACTACAGCATCCAAAGAGGAGGATATTAAGAAATGGTTCAGCATTAATGAAATTGATTTTAATCCTGACATGTTCAAAGCACAACTACTTCAGAAGGTACAGGAATACAAACCGCCTATAAGACAATAGCGGAACAGTATGGACATAAAGTATTATGATTACCGTCCTATCATTACATTTTTAACCCTACTGAGAATGTTTGGGGCATAGCAAAGTACTACTACAACAAACATGTGAGTCGAAATGGCAGAACTGTAGAGCGCTGCATCAATGTATGGCGAGAAGCTTTAGAAACTTTTAGCCGAAATTTGGTCAAAATGTATATTACATACTGAAAATGAAATTCAGAGATGGTCGGAAAGAGAAAAATATCTAGAACAAACTGACATTTTACCAATTATTATAAATGTGAATACGGAAGATGGTGATAGCAGTTCAGAGTTCTACTGACTAGAACTTTTTTCAAATAAAATATATCTTGTCACTATTCTTTATACGCAAGTCTTTGTTCTGAGAATTTTGTATAATAAATACTATGAACAAATTTCATTTAAATATTCATTTTTCTTATAGCTGTTTTAGAACTTAAATTATAAAATTGTAATAAAGTTAAAATATGGTTTGAGTGGGTAGTAGCACATTCAAGTATCTATTTTGAAATGTTTTGTTATTCCTTTCCCTGTAGCCCATTTTTTATATTATTTTCCAAAAGTAAGCTAATCTGCTAGTCACTAACACGCACGATACTGTAATGTTGGTTGCGGTCAGTCCCTGTCACTAGCTCCAGCATTTACAAAACATACTCTCTGTAATGTTGGTTGCGCTCTGTAACGTTGGTTGCGGTCCGCCACTGTCGCTAGCTCTAGCCTAGCGTTTACAAAACATACGATGTGAGATGTTGGTTGCGCTCTGTAATGTTGGTTGCGGTCCGCCTCACTAGCTCTAGCATTTACAAAATATACTCTCTGTAATGTTGGTTGCGGTCAGCCACTGTCGCTAGCTCTAGCCTAGCGTTTACAAAACATACGATGTGAAATGTTGGTTGCGCTCTGTAATGTTGGTTGCGGTCCGCCTTACTAGCTCTAGCATTTACAACACATACTCTCTGTAATGTTGGTTGCGCTCTGTAATGTTGGTTGCGAGTGATGCTGGTCGACCCCGAGTCTATCCTCCTGAAGACGAAGAGGAGATCCTTTGTGTGTTTCAGGAAGACCCTACTACGTCTACGCGCATTGTGGCTGCTCAGTTGGGTATACCACAATACAAAGTATGGTTTACTGTGCATACTGCAAGATTATACCCTTATCACTACGCGCCTGTGTATGTGATTGAAGAGAGCGATCCTGCAAGACGATTAGATTTCTGCAGGTACATGTTACATGCAGATACAGAAGATCCAGTCTATTTTAAGAAAATTCTGTGGACCGATGAATCGAAGTTTGATAAGGACGGGATCACTAACTACCATGATGATCATTACTGGGCTGATAAAGAAGCTTTAAACCCCCTAAAAATAAGGCCGACGGGGTCTCAGAGCCGGTTTTCAGTCTATGTGTGGATGGTCATTCTTTGATGGATATTTAATTGGACCTCATTTTCTGCCCGCCAATTTAAGTGGAGAATTGTATGAAGAGTTCTTGAAAAATCACTTGTTTCCAATAATAGAAGACATCCCATTGGCGACAAGACAAAATATGCGGTTCCAGCACGACGGCTGTCCCGCACACTACAGTAGATTAGTACGGGCGTATTTAGACTCTAAATTTCCAAATTAATGAATTGGCAGAGGCGGGTCCATTGCCTGGCCAGCAAGAAGCCCAGATCTCACACCGATGGATTACTATGTGTGGGGACATATGAAAAGCCTGGTGTACGATGTTTCGCCCGTACCAACGCGCGATGAATTAATTACAAGGATAATCAGTGCAGCTGACCACATAAAAAGCCGCTTAACAACTAGAGTTACCAAAAGTGAATTACGTAACAGAATGCGGGCGTGTGTTCGTAACAGGGGATTACAATTTGAGCAGAATCTGTAAAATACTAAAGGAAATGTAATTAAATAAAACTGTAATTAAAATAAAAGCCTTTTGTTTATCCTACGTAATTATCGTTCGTACAACTTCACTCATCTTTTTTTAATTTTATGTCTTTGTACTTGAGTTAGTTGTAACTTTTATACCTCAAATGAAAGCTTGTAAGATAGAGATATTATTTACATAATTTGCACATTTCATTACTAGGAGATTTTTTATAGAAAATTGCATTTTTTATCGAATAAGTTAGTAAAAAAATAAGAAAATCATACATTTCAAAAGCGTAATTTTAAAACTTTTGTAAGTTTTCAACATTTTATTACTTATTATGAACTATTGGAATGTCCGCTATGCGACGATAACAAAAAACTCAAAATCAAACATGTAGTTTTTTTGTATTTCAAATTTAACCGTCTGAAATCGGAATAAAAATAAAAAAATAAAATTCAAATAACTCAAAAACAGTTAACTTCTGGATAGGACATTATAGGACAAAATCGGTTGCTGTAGTTTTATTATTGCCCTCAAAGAATTTAATAAACACAGTTTTGTACAGCAACAGTGAGCCTCTCTGATTATCAATAAAATGGTCGGTAATGGCGTCACGTCAATCTATTGTATCAGGTTTGATCCAATCCCATAAGCCACAAATCCTTTTTGATTGACGCAATTTGCATCGACTTTTGTGTCCGGACACAAATAAAATTTGGTCTTTGTAGCTAAGCATTTTTGTTTTAATATGGGATTTTGGGGCCCGTCTTACCCAAGTAGAATAATTTTTCGTTAGTTTGAGAGACATCTAGAAATCGACCAGATTCATTAGATCCATAACTTTGCTACATAGGCCTAAATTTTGATTTTCGCCTGGCGTTGCAGGGGCGCACCTCCGAAACGAGTAATATTTCGACAACCATTAAAGAACAAAATAGCTTCAACATAGTCCAAGAAGCCTTTTGAATTTCACCGCATGTTTTAGAGGCATCCTGTATAATTTCCAGGTCTTCCCAAGTTAATCTGCTTGTCACACGAAAACATCTTCGTTCAAACCGTCACGTTCCTGGAGTTACTAGGCCAACCAGAAAAGGTGATTTCATTCTTCCCGATATCCTGGTTCTTACAGATGATCCTCGTCTGTGTCACTCTCGAAAGACCGGTTACCAGAATAATTCCAACAACGTTCACAGAAAGAAACGCATGCAAAATCATACACGATTTCAGCATAAAGCATGCTATTCTAGGCACAGATTATGCGATGAAGATGGCTAACAGTCCAGCTGTCAAGGTAGGTATATTTGCTCTCTCCAAGTTATCAATTGACAAAACATATGCTGATTGCTCGTGATTGGTCGTCCTGTCGTTTGTTTGGGCATTTTTATTAATTTGTGACAATTTTATGTAGACCTGTAAAGATATAAATAATTCTTCTATAATTTATTCTATAATTGGTGGAACACGAAACTTGTTTCATTGGCATCGAAGGCTAGCAATTGCTGCGTATTTACTTTTAAAGAAAAAAAATTATAGATCGACACTTATGAAAACTCTAAGTACAGAAGACAGCAAGAAATGAGATTTACAGATGAAAAGAAGAAATAAAACAAACTACACTGAGAAATCGTGGACAATTAAACATTGTTCTGGTAAATTTTGATTACCTGTAATAAATGTTTCAATTAGTCTAAGTAATTGTATTATTCGGCTTAAGTAAACTGAATTTTCTGGAACCAGTTAATATACTATTACACTAATAGCAGACAGAACTCGGCTCTTCATTCGTGAATGATGAAATACTCAAACATAAGGCGCTTAGTAACCCATAATCATGGTTCTGGATCCAAATGAAACACTATGTATTGGGAAATCACTGCTGACGTGACCACATCGAAATTTTGTTTGATGTATATAGTACGAGTATATTGCAGTATTTGAAAATATCCTAGTTTGTTTAAAGGGCCGTCAAATTTATTTATATAAGTAAATGCAAGGAATTCTTGTACACATGATGAATTGACCTTAGGTTTTAGGTACCATTTTCCTACTTTCTGAATTTAAAACAAAGAATTGCTTCTAGTGAACGGTTTCTGGACAATCGACGAATAGTTGATAAAACTTGATCCCATTATATAATAAGTTCACAATGGAAATAAAAAGTATCGAATTTTGTTAGGGTTATAAGGTTCGGGAAGTTTTGATTGTGATTTGAAGGCAATATCAACTATCAATATCGTTCTAATTTTTTTTTCAAATCTAAGATATGTCAGAGCACAGTTAGGATATACAGCATTCGGTAAAATGCAATTTTTATACAAATATCCTTTTAAATCTAAATAAAATAATTTATTAGAACTAGACAAACACTTTTATCTGGACTAACAAAACAAATTTAATAAATATACTAAAATAGTTTTACATGGAGCAGGTAAACTCATTTTACTAGTCCATTAATTTTAAATAAATTAGTGTAATCAATCTAAGTAAGCAGCTTGATAAATTTAACTTAATTTAACGATTGCGTTTTGGTTTAATCAATCTAGTTTCATAGAGATTTAGAAATCGAAGTTTCATTAAACCAATTAAACTTGTTAATGGGCCTGATTAAAATGTTAATTGATTTGCTTCATTTGTTTTTCAGTGTACATACCCCTGCCGTTTCGTGATATACAGGGTCTCCAAAAAGTATGGATGCAATAAGATTTCTTGAAAATCATGAGTCATAGAAAAAATCTTGAATTGAGGTTTGAATGGAATTGATAATTATTAATACAAGGTCTGACAAGGACGAAAAAATAGTTCCTAGCGAATATAAATGGCTGTATTAAGTGTATATTCAATTTATGGGATGCATGATTGCAAAACTATACAACTTCATAGGAATATAGACACCACTAGGACAAGAGAAGCTAATCTTAAATTGAGAATTTTGAATAACTATGCAAAGTGACAAGTGTCACACTCCCTGCAGTCGCATGCATACCATATAGTTTGTGTTTTGAATTCTTTATTTAAATTTGTGACCATGCCGTATATTCCAAGTTTTGACAAAATCAACACAGTTGATACTGAGATAACGCAATGACAAAGAGGACAGCACGACCGTTGGAAAAACGTCAATCAGTGGCATGAGAGCTAAAAAGTAAAGTCGCAATATGTTTGAACAAATGATATCCATCATCTGTTGTGTATGCCATAAAAATAATAATGATATGAATCACCTTGTATAAATACAATTACTCGATGCCATTGCAAACAACAGTATCCCGTATGAAGCTATAAAAAAGTGCGGGACGTCTTCCCGAAAGGCAACAAAAAATGATACGAATTCTGTGAAAAATATCGACATATTTAGAAGTTCAAAGGTTTTTTTCGAGTGCCCTTCCACTGGTAACTCTGCATTCTTTGGCAAAATATACTAGATCATGTATGAAAAAAAAAACGCAAATAGATAGATAATACCGGCATATTGGCCTTTGATACATCAGTAAACTATAATTGTTTAGCTTTTTAGAAGAATGTAATTGTAGCAATCATGCTAAATAAATCTTAAACAACAAAAAGTCACATTCTGTTTTCTTTTACTCTACAGGATTACAACCTGAACTGTCTCAGAGTCGTAATGATAGGGACGGTGAACACAATGAAGCATGACGTACAGACATTAAGACAACTTATGCCCCACGTAAAGTTCCTTCAGTGCTACTGCCTTACAGAAACCGGTTGCATAGCTGCTACTAGGGCCGATAGCTACAGTAAGAGCATAATAAAGCCTCAGACTGCTATTGGTCCTCTTACCATGAACTGTCGGATCAGGATCGTTGATCCAGAAACTAGAAAAGGGGTGGGGCAAAACTGTTATGGAGAGTTATTGTATACTGGAGATGGATTCATGTTAGGGTGAGTAGTACTATTTTACGTCAATCTTGCAATGGAGATAGCACCATTTCTTGAACGCTGCTCACAGACAGCGCCATGGACCTGAGCTAGAAGCAGAACATTCTCCAAGAGGAATGTTTTGCTCTCTGCTAACCCTGGACAGATCAAAGCATATCAGCAGAATTTCTTCAACTTCTTTAGAGCATCCACTGATCTGCAAGATTCTATTGTTTATTAGGAAGTATTGTAATCGCGAAAAATTTCGGAAGTGAGAGATAGCGTTTTTTTTTATATGTTACATCACAGAAAACTGTCATTCATGTCCGTCTCTCTGTCTGTCGGTCTGTCAATAATCCTTGACTGCAAGTGCCACTGGGCTTCGATGAAATTTTGAAACAAGGTTACTACCGTGCCAAAGACAATAAAGCTTTGTTGCTTTGAAATCTTATCCAACCAAACAAAATTAAAATCGCTGAAATTTGGTTTGCCGACGCTTCATAAACAATTTTGAGGGGGCCCAAAAGTTACGGGTTGTAGTTGTAGAGAATGGCGGATTGTAAATGTTGCATCTTTGGTATCAGTCAAGCACGTCCTATTATTAAGATGCTACAGAACACGGTTTAACACTATGCACGTGTTAGACATAAATTCTACAAAACTATTTGATTGACAGAAGTCAAAAAACCAAAAATGGATCTACATTATCAAGATGAAAAAATATTTCGGGTATACCACAAGCTGGTAAACTAAGTCCACTTCTATTTATTTTATACATTAATGACATTTGTAATATTTTAGATTATTTTAAAATTCAGATATTTGCAGATTATACATTAATATACATATCAGATGAAAATATAGACACTGCTTTAAAAATGCTAAATTCTGACTTGGCAAAAATCGTAAATGTGTTAAATGTAAATAAACTAAAATTGAATACTTCTAAAACAAATTGTATGCTAATAGGGAAATACCTAAATGAAAATACTATCACAGTTAGAAAAATGGTGTGAAATAATTGAAAATGTTGAATCAACTAAATATTTAGGTATATATATATATTGATAGTAAACTAAAGTTTGAGGATCACTATGATTACATTATTCAAAAAATTGACAAAAAAACAAATTACTTTTATAGGGCTTCTCATAGTCTTGGTACATATTCCAAGAAAACAGTTTATAATATAATTATTCTACCGCATTTAATACATTGTTCAGCTATCTCGTTCACTGCCAATGAAGCTATATTATCAAAATTAAGTCCAGAAAAATAAAGCTACGAGAATAATGTTGAATATAAATAAGGACACCATAATAAAATCTATGTTATAGTGGTTGAATATAAAAAATTTCATATCATATTTGGTACTTATTTTTATATTTAAAATATAAAATCATCTTTTGCCACAACATTTGGAGAATTGAAAAATCAGTACCACAATTATTATACAAGAGCAAATATAGATTTTCATTTACAAAATTGCAATAGATTACTTGAATTAAATAAAATAAGTAATGATATAACGTCTACTTGTAATTCAAAGATGTTTAAAAGAAAACAAGAATATTTCTTAGAGATGCAAATTTTGTTTTTTTTTTGTAAATATCCGTAATGTAATTGTTTAGTTTCTTAGAAGAATGTAATTGTAGCAATCTTGCTAAATAAGTCTTAAACAAACAAAGAATAATGTACTACTTGGAGACAAACACGATGCACGCTATGATAGATACGTTCAGTGAAAGACGAATACTAGCGGAAATGGATATACCAGTAGCAGCAGCTACCTATATTTATATACACTACGAATTATTCAAAAACAAGCGGCGACGACGTCCGAGACGATGGTGGCAAACGCAGTTATATACCAATAGACCAGCACACGGTTGCAACAATTTGATAGTGGAATTGAAATTCCAGAAGTAAGTGGACAGTACACGACGGACTTTGAATATCTTCTCGCGTTGATTGGAACAAAAATACGAAGACAAGATACAATATGGAGAGCTGTCATCATAGCACAAGACTTGCAGTCTCGGGGCGATTTTTGGCGACCGGCGATTTATACAGTAGTTTGCAATACATATGCAACTTCGTCGCGAGCCATTCCTTTGACGTTGCGCTGAAAAAGAGACAGAGTCTGGATCGGGCGGAACGGCGAGCTGTAACGCTAATCGGATTCGTGACGGCCGGCGAAAAAAACGAAATTTCCAAAAATGGTTTTAATTTTCTCCTGACTTTATTTGTGGTGGGATTTCAAAACAAATTGCACATAAACTCAGCCACATTTTCTCCTACACGAGACGGTACAATTAGAAATTCAATGTGACGTTTCGTCTCTTGTACTCCAGCATCAACTTATTTTTCTCTTATAGACGCCATATTGGATTCTCACACACATGAATAGAATTTTTTATTCTGATTTAAAAAATGTATGTCATACATTGACATTGCAAACCTTACCTGTTCCAGATATTCCTAGGTAAGCCTTGAAATTATTAGATTTCATTTGTTTGCATAACAAATAACAAGACTATGAATATATCTGCTTATTTATAGTTATTATTGTTATTACTATCAATAAAACTTTCAGTTCGTATTCAGGCTTCACCATATCTTTTTATTTCCTTTTAACTTTCATCCAACAACAAATTTATGGTCAACTGACAATCACTGAATTTCCGGCTTAAAAAAGCCCATTTAAATGTACAAAATTCCAATATAGTGTCTGTATGAAAAAACAAATTTGACGATGGAAGTCAAAAGAAGAAATGTCGAATTGAAAATTTGACTACGCCATCTTGCAGATAAGAATAAGGAATAAGTAACAATGACAATATGCAATTTATTTTGAAATCCCATCTCGAATAGAGTCGGGAAAAATAGAGCGGATAAATCTGGTGGTACCTAAGAAATTTTGTTTTTCTGAAAGTAATCAATGTCAATGAATGACGTATTATGCATTTTTTTAATCAAAATTAAAAACTCTATTCATCTGTGCCAAATGCAGTATAGCGTTCTTAAGAAATAATAAAGTTGATGCTCGAGGGCAAGAGACGAACCGTCATATAGAAATTCTGATTATGCCTACTTGTAGACGAGAAAACGTGGCACTGTTAATGTGGAATTTATTTTTTCAAATCCCAATGTAAATAAAGTCAGGAAAAAATCAGAACACGTTTGGGAAAATTAACTTTTTCCGTTACTCTACGGAAGTACTTTGAATTTCGAAACCTTCTAAGTATCATTTTGTTGACCACCCCATTTAAGCGACTTCGAATCCCTTACAGTTTCCAAGATCCCAATGGTCAGTGCCAAATTAGACACACTCTGTATATGCACAGTCTTACTAGAAGAAAGAAGTGAAAATACTAGGCCCGTATCGTCAGTCGTCCCTACAATAATTGTAGGGCGCCTTTATGGCCTCCTTGATTGTCATACTCCTTTCTCTCCTTCAAAAATTTCTAGATTACAGTTGTCCTGTGTCAGCGTCAGCGCTCTCCTATTGTGAAGATATGTTTTCTTTTTAAATTGTAGGAAATTTCAGGCTGATAAAACATGATATAACTCAAAAGCAAGCACAATTTGATGCAAATAGATGTCTGTGACATAACCTCAAAATAGAGCGCTGACACCGAGAAGTAGAAAACTATGACAATCAAGGAGGCCATAAAGGCGCCCTACAATTGTAGGGACGACTGACGATATGGGCCTTAATAACATCTTTGAATAATAAAGGGTCTTATACACTATACATTAATGACATTTGTAATATTTTAGATTATTTTAAAATTCAGATATTTGCAGATTATACATTAATATACATATCAGATGAAAATATAGACACTGCTTTAAAAATGCTAAATTCTGACTTGGCAAAAATCGTAAATGTGTTAAATGTAAATAAACTAAAATTGAATACTTCTAAAACAAATTGTATGCTAATAGGGAAATACCTAAATGAAAATACTATCACAGTTAGAAAAATGGTGAAATAATTGAAAATGTTGAATCAACTAAATATTTAGGTATATATATATATTGATAGTAAACTAAAGTTTGAGGATCACTATGATTACATTATTCAAAAAATTGACAAAAAAAACAAATTACTTTTATAGGGCTTCTCATAGTCTTGGTACATATTCCAAGAAAACAGTTTATAATATAATTATTCTACCGCATTTAATACATTGTTCAGCTATCTCGTTCACTGCCAATGAAGCTATATTATCAAAATTAAGTCCAGAAAAATAAAGCTACGAGAATAATGTTGAATATAAATAAGGACACCATAATAAAATCTATGTTATAGTGGTTGAATATAAAAAATTTCATATCATATTTGGTACTTATTTTTATATTTAAAATATAAAATCATCTTTTGCCACAACATTTGGAGAATTGAAAAATCAGTACCACAATTATTATACAAGAGCAAATATAGATTTTCATTTACAAAATTGCAATAGATTACTTGAATTAAATAAAATAAGTAATGATATAACGTCTACTTGTAATTCAAAGATGTTTAAAAGAAAACAAGAATATTTCTTAGAGATGCAAATTTTGTTTTTTTTTTTGTAAATATCCGTAATGTAATTGTTTAGTTTCTTAGAAGAATGTAATTGTAGCAATCTTGCTAAATAAGTCTTAAACAAACAAAGAATAATGTACTACTTGGAGACAAACACGATGCACGCTATGATAGATACGTTCAGTGAAAGACGAATACTAGCGGAAATGGATATACCAGTAGCAGCAGCTACCTATATTTATATACACTACGAATTATTCAAAAACAAGCGGCGACGACGTCCGAGACGATGGTGGCAAACGCAGTTATATACCAATAGACCAGCACACGGTTGCAACAATTTGATAGTGGAATTGAAATTCCAGAAGTAAGTGGACAGTACACGACGGACTTTGAATATCTTCTCGCGTTGATTGGAACAAAAATACGAAGACAAGATACAATATGGAGAGCTGTCATCATAGTACAAGACTTGCAGTCTCGGGGCGATTTTTGGCGACCGGCGATTTATACAGTAGTTTGCAATACATATGCAACTTCGTCGCGAGCCATTCCTTTGACGTTGCGCTGAAAAAGAGACAGAGTCTGGATCGGGCGGAACGGCGAGCTGTAACGCTAATCGGATTCGTGACGGCCGGCGATCTCTTCACCGACTATACTAGCGCGGCGCGGTTCGTCGCGTGGTTCAGTTTGCAGTGTTATTACATATCTGTACATGGCTTAACACAATATTCTTAGGGTAGAAATACTCGTGCAGGTCAGACTAAATTAAGGTGGATAAATTTAATGCTGAAAAGTGTGTAGTAATATAACGATTTATTGCAGTATCGTCAATCGTTCCTACAACTGTAGGACGCCTTTATATCATCCTTGATTTTCATAGCTCTCTACTGTTCTGCATCAGCGCTCTATTTTGAGGTTATGTTACAAATATCTATTTGCATCAAATTGTTCATGCTTTTGAGGCCGAAATTTCCTACCAGGGAAACATAGCCTCACAATAGGAGAGCGCTGGCACGGCCCAGTAGACATCTAGAAATACAGATTTTCTAAAGGAGAGAAAAACATATGAAAATCAAGGAGACCATAAAGGCGTCCTACAATTGTAGGAACTACTGACGATACAGCCCTTAGCCTGTGAGAAAATGGATATCATGGATATGTGAATATACTAAACATTTGTCAGAAGAATACGCTTCAAAGTTATGCTATGAACAGTATGTTCTAACAACATGCCTTATTAGCATATCTCTTCTAGGATCTAAAACGTACATTCCGGAAATATGAATATCCCTTTCCATGTTTACCGGGTATTATGAGAACGACTTTCATCGTATCATGACTTAGGTTGATTGCAGGTATTTGAAGCAACCTGATAGGACCAAAGAGTGCATGGAGAAAGGTTTCTTCAAGACAGGTGATCTCGGTATGGTCGACGAGGATGGTTGGTTATACGTAAAAGGCAGGATAGACGATTTAATCATAATCGACGATTTCAAGTTCTGCCCCTTAGATCTTGAAGAGGTTATCGTGACACATCCTGCCGTCAAGGAAGCAGTCGTCATCGGAAATGATAAAGAGATCATTGCACTTGTCAAGAAACTCAATAAGGATGTTTATTTGTCAACTAATAAGTTACAATTGTAAGTTTAACTCATTTTATAAGGAATCTAGGAACCAAGAGGCGTATTAAGATGGATGAATTACTGTCGGTCAGTCCCTTTGATCTTGGCATCACAAAATATTTGACAAATATCTTACCAATTACAGTAGGTGCCCACAACAATTTTTCTCGGGAGAACCAGTACGAACATACGAATATGCTCCTGGATTTTCCTACAAAGCTCCAAGAGGATAGCCTCCAGAACTATATACGTATAAAGAACGGGAGTCGGTCAAATCTTAAAAATCCTGACAGAACCTTTATCATTTGAAAAATTGTGTTTTCTTATATCAGTTACCATTTATATCCAATAATACTAATTCACTCCTGATGATCCCGTGAGCTCCAAAAGACACAACATACATGTTTTAATTGCTTAATCTACTTTTAAAAATTATTGTTAGACCATGCCAGTGCCAGTGACGAAAATAGTACCAAACTTGAGATACCCTTTTAGTTAAAATTCTAATCAAATGTTTTTTCAACATTTGGCAGAACATTTATTGTCGCATAATGGTGTATATCTCAGAATTCTTTACTTTCTCAACAGGATCAATTTTGTTGGAAATTTGCATTAGTTTAAAAAGTTATTCAGCAGGATTGATATTTTTGCTCCAATAATATCAAAACGTTCATTAAGCACCCTTCTAGGCAAAAACACACTCTCATTATGACTGAATTACAATTTTTATAAAACTTTCTTGAGATGATTAATGTTTATTATTCTAAACTCACTGAATGATGCATTATAAAATGATCTAAAGGGAAAATGGATGGGATGCCCGTTATTAATTGAGCTTACAGTGTCGTCGATGCTTTTTATTAAATAGGTATTCCGCAATCTGCTATTATTTTCTTCATTTATTACCCCTTGTCGAACTTCATTTTAGATAATTGTATTTCTTCCAAGAGGAAAACAACACTTTTCAATGATTTCCAGATCTATTTGGTACAATTTACACAGTCTTCAATTTTTGTATAGCAATATTTTTCTTCTCATCTCGCAGAACTGCTATACATTTGGTGTATATATTCTAGCCAATCATTTTGACTCACAGTAATAATATTTTTTAAAACTATGGTATCGTTTTCATTCAGAATCCTTGAATGTCGGTTGTATGCATATTGTAGGTTTGTTCGTACAGCCTGTTTGCTGACAATCAGCAAACTGACAGTCGGTGACATGTCATGACCTAGTTTACGCAGTTAGCTGTCACTGATACATCCCTGACTGTATTAATTGCATACATGAGAACATTACGAGTTGGCTGAGGGAGGTCAGACCGATTACCGACAGTTAATCCGCTGTTCGTACAGAATCTTCTGACTGTTTGATGACTGTCAAATCACTCAGCAAATAATTTTCCAGTAAATTTTCAGAGGTCGCAATCAAGTACAATGATTATTCGAATGTAAAATTTTCAGAATGAGGTAAGACAATTTTGAAAAAGCTGGAGGTTCATTTGCTGTAAACGAGAATGATCTAGGATTTTTCGTCCAACCGTCCAAATGTGCCCAATTTTCCTTTAGAGAGAAAAACATGGACACTTTCTAGAAAAAATAACAGCACCCAAAAATATCAAGTAGGTTTACTCAGTAATTACCATTCAATTCTCATATATAAAGTATGAACATAAATTCGAAGAAATATGAATCCACACATCGAATGACAAGTTGAAGAAGTAAATATACAGGGTTATCCAAATTAAGTGTCCACCATTAGTAACTTTGTTATTAGTGAAAATACAAAGTTGTTTGAATTAGCAAACTAGTAGCATTTTAACGCTGGTAAAAATGAGAAATAAAAAAAACAATTGAGAGTCGTTATTTTGATTTTTTTCAGTAAAATAACATTTTTTAAAATGGAAACCCCTGTATATTATATTTTTTTCTGTTAAAGCATCAAATTTTAAACAAAAAAGTTCATAATGACTTTTCCGCTAAAGTCAAAAATAAAGTCAAAATAACGATAAATATTTTTAATTATTTGCAGTATTATAATATTAAGACGGCTATTAAGCGACAAATTGTTAAACTGGACATACTCGCAACTAGAAGGCTTTGGAAAACAATGATAAAATCAAATAATGTCAAACATTAGTGTAAATACTTGTTTATAAGCTTTATTGTGTCATTAATTTAAAGAAAAATGTTCTCCCATGAAGAAAAGTGTGATATGCTAGAATGCTATTTAGTGTGCAGAAAATCCTCCTTGAGAGCAAGAGAATACTACAGTGAATTATATCCCGCTCGCATTCAACCGTATGAACGATATTTTCTGAGACTTTATCGAAAATTTAGGGGCAACGAAAATGTTTTTGCTAAAACAAGGGCAAAAAAAGAATTCATAATAAGCGAGGCCACGGAAATTGCAGTTATTGGATATTTTGAAGCTTATCGTGAGAATTCAATAGCAGATATTCTCAAGGACTCTAATTTCAGTTATGGTACTGTTCAAAGGATTTTAAAAAAATACAAATTTATTCCATATAAGTACCGACCAGTTCAAACGCTTTTGGCACGGGATCCAGAGAGAAGACTTGTTTTTTGCCATTGGTATCTTAGCTTCTGTCGCCAAAATGTAAATAACTTTCGTTACCTTTTATGGACAGATGAATCAAATTTTTCAAATTCTGGAATGTTTAATAGAAAAAACCACCATTATTGGTCAAGAGAAAATCTTTTGTTAGTACATCCAAGAGGCCCACAGGTCCGTTTCAGTTTCAACGTTTGGTGCGGTATAATTGGTTCAAAAATTGTTGGCCCGTTCTTTATGAGGGAACCCTAACTGGTGAAAGATATGTGGAATTTATGTCAGAAATTCTGACTAATTTCTTAGACGAATTGGATCTTATAAGTAGACATCATCTGCATTTTCAGCAAGATGGCGCACCTGCCCACAACTCCAGAGGTACTTATCATTTTCTAAGTACTACTTTTAATGATCAGTGGATAGGAACAAATGGCCCAATACAGTGGCCTCCCAGATCACCAGATCTAAACCCACTTGATTACTTCTTGTGGTTACTTAAAGAACCAAATTTACAAGCGAAGGTACGATAACCTTGACGCGTTAAAGACTGCAGTTAGGGAAAAGATAACCCAGATAGATGGTAGGACCATACTTAAGACAGTTCGAGCTGTTGAAAAACGTGCCCAAAAATGTATTGAAGAACAAGGTGGTGTTTTCGAGCATCTTCTTAAAAAAAAATTGTTATTGTATTTTGTAAGATTATAAGTTGATGTTGAAAATAAAGTTTGTCGATACAATTTAATTGTTTCAGATTGGAGGCCATAACTTCAACAATTTGTAACCTAGGAGAAAAGTTATTGTAAGCTTTTTTGTTTAAAATTTGATGCTTTAACAGAAAAAAATATAATATACAGGGGTTTCCATTTAAAAAAATGTTATTTTACTGAAAAAAATCAAAATAACGACTCTCAATTGTTTTTTTTTTATTTCTCATTTTTACCAGCGTTAAAAATGCTACTAGTTTGCTAATTCAAACAACTTTGTATTTTCACTAATAACAAAGTTACTAATGGTGGACACTTAATTTGGATAACCCTGTATAGTAAGAATTCTTAATAAGCATCTGCAGTGTATGTTATGTATGAGAAATGTATAAAGTATTGTAAATGACGTTTAATAAAACTCGTATAGTAGGGTTTTTGTTCCCTGTTCAATTGTCGCCCAGCGTCGAAGTGTATGCACAATCAGTATTTATATATTCTAGCTATGTAAGTCTAACCTAAAGCTGATGAAAAATTAACAAAATAGCGAATTCTGGAGATTTTGTGATACATCTTTTTCTCACGGGTGCCCACGGAGAGGGCGTGACTGTTTGTGCTGGGGTGAAAATAATATTTTCCCTATACAGGATATTTAACATAATTCGTGAAAATTTACATATCATCGTCCGGTCTATAGAGGATATTTTAAATTCGACCCTCACCATTGGGATCTCGGAAACTTCATCTGACACGAAGTCACTTAAATAGCTGCAAAGTTGCGTATTCAGATAATCAGCAAAATTTCGCTTAGAAAGTTTTGAAATTGAAAGTACTTCGGGAAAGAGACGAAAAACACGAAATTTCCAAAAATGGTTTTAATTTTCTCCTGACTTTATTTGTGGTGGGATTTCAAAATAAATTGCACATAAACTCAGCCACATTTTCTCCTACACGAGACGGTACAATTAGAAATTCACTGTGACGTTTCGTCTCTTGTACTCCAGCATGAACTTATTTTTTTCTTATAGACGCCATATTGGATTCTCACACACATGAATAGAATTTTTATTCTGATTTAAAAAATGTATGTCGTACATTGACATTGCAAACCTTACCTGTTCCAGATATTCCTAGCTAAGCCTTGAAATTATTAGATTTCATTTGTTTGCATAACAAATAACAAGACTATGAATATATCTGCTCATTTATAGTTATTATTGTTATTACTATCAATAAAACTTTCAGTTCGTATTCAGGCTTCACCATATCTTTTTATTTCCTTTTAACTTTCATCCAACAACAAATTTATGGTCAACTGACAATCACTGAATTTCCGGCTTAAAAAGCCCATTTAAATGTACAAAATTCCAATATAGTATCTGTATGAAAAAACAAATTTGACGATGGAAGTCAAAAGAAGAAATGTCGAATTGAAAATTTGACTACGCCATCTTGCAGATAAGAATAAGGAATAAGTAACAATGACAATATGCAGTTTATTTTGAAATCCCATCTCGAATAGAGTCGGGAAAAATAGAGCGGATAAATCTGGTGAGCGAAACAAACATCTGATAATTTCAAGGCCTACCTAAGAAATTTTCTTTTTCTGAAAGTAATCAATGTCAATGAATGACGTATTATGCATTTTTTTAATCAAAATTAAAAACTCTATTCATCTGTGCCAAAATGCAGTATAGCGTTCTTAAGAAATAATAAAGTTGATGCTCGAGGGCAAGAGACGAACCG